TCCCAGACACTGTATTTTTGTGTCCCAGGTTTTTTTATTGTAAATACATGTAATAAATGTGTTATACCCTGGAAATCACAATCATATGCAGAACAACTGAATTAATAATTAATTAGTGTTGAATGTGTATATAAAACATATAGTACAGTGGAAAAGTAAGAACTGCTACTTTTAGTCCATATAAAGATGAACAATACGAACTCCAATAACAAATGAGTAGTTCCTATAACCTGAAAGTGTTTCTAAACACTCTAATAGAAACAGGTAATTGTTAAAGTAAACAGTTAAGTTTATAATGTGAACTAGATGCGCGAGTTACAACCAGGAGAAGCTCCATGCACAAAGATTGGAGCTTTTAGGTCCCAAAATTAATTTGTTTGAGCTCTTAAAGCCATATGAGGATTGTTAGTGCACAGAGTACACAAGAGGCTCTGGCCCTAAAGATTTTTACATGGTTGCTGAGATTTGACGTATACACATCACTACTATAGAAGTTGTTTGGAAGAGACTTGGAGGCATAATATAGCAAGTTAACAACCCTTAAAACTAAGACTAAACTGTGCTACACAAACATTTTATCCTAAAAGTAAAACGCAACGGACTGAAACTCATATTTCTGAAAGAGAACATAACAATGTCTTATATAACACACATTAGTTTTATTTCTTAATCATACTGTACATCCAAAATAAACATTTAATAATCACAGTTAAAACAAAAATATTGCATTATAATTTAACCCAATGTAATCATTCAGGTGGTAGATATTATAACAGACAGTATGAGGGCATGCCAACAAATACATAATCTTTCTTTCACATTTAGTCACTTTTATACAACCACACTTGATTTTGAATTATAACCCTTTATTTCAAAAAGCTACTCAAAAACTGATCATCTTTTTTTTCTTTTATATCCTACCCACAGCCTCCTATATGCCCTAAATAAACAAACTCATAATTATGTCTCCTATGAGTATGAAACAAGTCAGATCCGCAAGGCTCTTGGTTTTAGGCACCGATTCTATCGATCAACTGTTTGCCCACATGTTAATACACTATGCTTGCACACAACAAAAAAACATCTGTTCAAAATGCTAGATCAGGATACATCAGTTAATCTGGTGAATGTTATTTCAAAGGATGTCAATGACTATTAAATACACTGCCGGTCAAAAAATAGTTAACACCCTATATTTAGATTTTTTTTTTGTTCAATCTCAAGAAATATGGTCATTGTAAAGACCTTAAAATTAAACTATGTTTGTAAATTTAGAAAATATTGGGATTTATTCTGATTGTAAATAAAGCTAGGATGCATTTTGCAAGCCTATGTTCTGCCACAGGATTTTAGTTTTGCTTCTTATTTTCAGGGCATTATACACTAATTAAAACATATCCATGAATGTTATATTCTATTTCTGCCAGTAGAGCCACCTGAATGTTACACACTGGACCTTTTAAACTAGTCATTGTAGATATATTGTGAAGCAACTCAGATTTATTCACTATGAGTTTGGCAAATAGTTCCCCAACAGCCACCATGTTTTTCCAGTTTAGAAAGCTGGATTTTAATAGTATTTTCTTGCCTTTTTATGCTGACATAATTTCTCATTTGGTGCCCATGATCACTGCTGAGTGTCTTAAAGGAGCACTTCACAGATTTTATACATGAAGATCGGTTTATCTGTCATGAGTACTACTACTCAGCTGGTGAAAACACTTGTAGTATGTCCTCTGTTGCTCTGAGGGGAGTTTTCTAAACCATTTTTGATTGATTTTTGAGAATGCTGGAGCTGTCGAGCCACTGTCAGGTGGTATTAACTCAGCAGCTCCTCTTCCACTCAGCATTGCCAGACCAAACAATACTGGCTATCAATGCCATGCTCAACAATCAAGCAGTTTTAGTGTGTATTTTGGCATTTTTCGGTATTCTTAAATTATGTTTAAATGTACTACATCCTAAAATGTGGCTCAAATTAGTGTAATTATTATATAGTAACTGAAACACAGTTTAAATTCTTATATCCAACAACCTATTAATTAGCAAGCTCTCGGATCCTTACGAGGTCTTTAAGGAGTGCTTGATTAAAGGCAAGTGCACTTGAGGATTTGATGACCCTTATCTAAATATGGTAAAACACAGATTTCCCAGTATGGTTTTGTGCTACAGGTGTCCTATTACAGTAAGTCAAGTAAATCTAGATTATTTCCACTAAAATAAAAAACACAGACAATCAAATTCAGTTTTACCTATGACTTACATTTAATTGCTAATGTTATTTACAATGGTACTTGAGATTCAACTAAAAGTGCTAAAATATAGGGTGTTCAAGATCTTCAAAAGGCAGTGCGTGATGTATTCTTCATGAAGGTGAAATCAAAGTCAAATCATAAACAATCCCATCCATGTTCCGCCTTTAAGGGTTCCCAAAAATACTTACCTTGCAGTATAAAATCTGGTTAGGGCCAGCTGGTCAGTCAGGAGTTCATACAGTACATTCAACAAGTCCTGTTGAAACTGATACTTCTGGCCACAGCTCTGATTGTAATAATAACTAATTAATACACAGTATTCAGGGAGAGAGGAACCAGAGGTTGAACCCTACTATTGTTACCGCAGGGCACGGGAGTCGAACAGCTATTGTGCACGGATCTTAAAGCTGTCACCAGCCGGTGGGCTACTGTTTGTCACAGAGGGAATCCACTGAGCATGAAGGCTGCGTGAAAAGGCTAATGCAATGTTAGTCGGACCGGAGTAGTCAGAGGAAATCCACAGAGGCAAGCACACCATGGATAAGCCAAGAAGCAGAGGAGCACGCGAGTTGTGAGCCAGGAAAGGAAACAAGGATGCAGCCATTGTTTATTGCAGCGAGGGATCGCGGCTAGCCGCTCGGTCCCAGCTGCAGCCTCTCCTGCTTATGCTTATCCAGCCACTGTAAGATCTGCTGTTTGAGTTCCTCGTTTGGCCTGATCTGGTCCATGGTTAGAGGACTGCGGTTGAATGGGTCTGTCTGGTCACTGTGAGGAGAACAAGAAAAGTCAAATGGGTGCCCATGGTGCCCACTGGACATCATCTCGAGAGAATTTTGGTGCTTTGTAGGAAGTAACCCACCTGAGGAGATGCCTTGCTATAGTTGAGCGGTCAACTGTGACATTGGAGGAAGGGAGAAGAACAGGATCGAGCATCAGAGTGGACATGATGGGATCCAAAAACTCATCTGGGGCATCTGAATATGTCTCCTCTTCCTGCTGCTGTCTGTCTGCATGGGACTAAAACACAATGGACGACAAACCTTTAGTGTTTCCACCTGTATTCACCACAGTGAACACTGCATAGATTCATAAAACAAAGAATTATTCCAGTGTTGTCTCTGACAAACAGTTTCCAAGTCAGATGATACCTTTATTTTATCAGCAAGGAGTCCAAAAGCCACAATCATGTCCCCAGGCTTGTTTATCTTCTTTAGTACCCTAACTGTTTGGGAGAAGAGGGTAGGAGAGTACGATCGGCCATCTTTTGGGACTGTAGCACAGAAATTTTCCTCATCACTGCCAAAGACAGAAACATTTTCTTACAAAATTGGAAACCACAAAAGTGCTCATACTCCGCAATGTGCCACTGTATTTTTTCTCCAAAGAATATGGCACCAATAAAATAAAGAGATTAAACAAATTATACTAGGGAGAAAATAGTTAATATATTAATATAAGACTGCTAAAAGTGTTTTACAGTGTATTTTATATTGGTAACAATTCCACAAAGAAAAGTGTTCATGACATACCCCAGGTTCAGGTAGATGGTGCAGATGTCAGACACAAGCTGCTGAGGCTTGAAGTCAAACTCACTGAAGTCCTTGACTTTAAGGGCACCCATCTTAGGACCCACCAGGTGCTGCAGAAAGTAGTTCAGCATGGAGATGATCCTCTCTGCCAGGAACGGGTGCACAAAGATCCCCTTGATCTCTGGAAATAAGAAAAAAATAAAAAAGTAAAACCACGAGATGGATGCGACAATCTTTAAATGGATTAATCAATATGAAGAGTCAAATCTTTTCTGCCTCACCTGAAGTGAGGAAGGCCAGTGTGCCGATGGTCTCATTAGACATGATGTTGTGGAAGCGTCCCAGCTGACCAAACATCTGCAGGCTGGACTCCTTCTCTCTTCGGGCATCAGGGGCCAGGCCTTCCCACTCCCCACGATCCCGCTCCAGCTGCAGAACCTTGATCTTACTCAGGTACTACAACACAAAAGGTAACGATAAGATATAACAATAACGATGTGAGCATCCACACTGATGAAGAATCCAACACTCTGTTACAAGATTTGTCATCTTTTAAAGACAAATTTTATTTATACTTCAGGGGGGCTAATGAAAAAATCTATATGACTAACATACAACTACAGATAAAATAATGAAGATGACTGAAGAGCTTATTTGCCAAAACTGGTGTTTGCATGTATGGATGATGAACTCTACCTGAATAGCCTCATCCAGGAGGAAGATGGCATCGTTCATCAGTAAGTTGAGGAACCTGAGGAACAGAGGGGCGTTCATGGCCTCCAGGTTCTCAGATGCATAGTGCGCCAAATGCTGAAACAAAAAATGTTAAACTAAATGAAGAGCACATTGGGATCAATTTGATTAACTAATACATTTCCCAATATATAATCACCTGGTAGTAAACCAATGCCTGTTTTAGTTTTCCCTTTATTGCCACGTATGGCTATTGAAGGTCACAAGGAACCAAAGCCTATCCCAGTATGCACTGTGTGAAATATTATGGAACATCCTGGGCAGTTTACCAGTTTATCGCAGGGCCTTAAAGTACACAACAGAGTCTTTCCTTTCTCCATATTTTCTCAGTACTACAACTCTCATCCTAGAAAACTATTTAAATGAGATGTGTTGAGCAGTTTATTTGCTGCTCTTGTCACTAAAAATCAATGAAGTTGCCTGATCATAAACTCCACAATACACCTGATTAAGATTTTTATGTACACCCACCACAAAATATTAACATCATATTTACATCCTCTCAAGTCTGTTACTACCTTGATACTCTCTCTGTAGGTCTCTTTGCCCCACATGTACTTGAGGATTGGATACATGGGTCTTCTGTAGTTGAATTTCTGTTCAAACTGATGAGGATCACCTGAAAAGAAGAGAAAAGAAAAACTAAATAAAATCAATCATTCTTCTCTGCAGGCTTCTATTTCTAACTTGTTTCTGTATTTGTTTTGTATTTTTTTAGTAAATTCAGCAGTACTGTTAAAAAACAAGAGTTCAGTGCAGTTTACAACTAGCAATAGTCAAAACTTGAGAAAAACATCTGCTTCACCTGTGAATTCAATGTCTACAAACACAGCAATGAGGGCCTCGGCCAGCTGAGGTGCATGTCTATAAGAGCAGAAGACTCTCTCTCGCTGGAACACGATTGGCTGAACAGCACCGGGAGCCACCGGCTCCATGTGGGGCATCACCGCCTCTAAGACCTCTGCGAGCTTTGCTCTTAAATGAGGGTTCTTCATCCTGTTGTAGATATAGGACAAGAGGGATTCAAGCAATTTGTGAAATCTGAGATGGACTACTCAAGCCCCAGTGGAGCTCACAATTCTTCCTTTCAACTGACCACACTCACTGACATGATAGATTAGGTCATGTACCTCTCTACGTTACCCATGAAGACAGTGATGAAGTTAAGAATCTGCTCCAGACTTTCTGCAGAAGTCTCCAAAACATCGTCTGCAAATCGACGCAGGAAGATGAAAAAATCTCCCAAGTTCTCTGCAAAAAACTCTGAAAACAGAAGGCACACTTAAGTAATGACTATCATAGAAAGGAATGTTGAGCATGAATGAATAATTGAACCATGAGTGACTAAGCACTACTTCCTAGCCTGCACAGCTGTAGTAATTTCAAAACATTTTGTAGCATTGAGTGTATATAGTATAGATTTCAGTATCAGGCTTTTGAACTGTTATTATTCACTTGACCTCCTGAACCCTGCAGCGTTTTAGAAACTAAATTTTAAACAGTGAATTTTGACAATAAAATGGTCATTGCTGGCAATGTGTCATAACATCAAGTGGGAAATGCTGTTACATTAAAATTATGTTTCTATCAATGATGATGAGGTGGAAAGCAGCATTTAAAAACACAGCACACAATTTTACATGCTCCAATTCAGGAGGTAAAAAAGATAATCAAAGATAAAGTTGGGCTTTGTGTTGCACTGTAGTGTAGTAGAAGATCTGACCTACCTGGTACATAGCACAGCACAGTATTCCGTAGGGTGGGCAGGGGAAAGCTGAGTGCTACATGTTCAGGCCCCTGATTCCCCATCCCAAGCTGAACCAGCAGAGCACCGGTGGAAGCTTGGAGGTTAAGGCAGCATTGCAGCATGGCGGGCTGCGTGGTGGCAGCTTTGGTTGACAGATAAACAATCATGAGACGCTCAAACTGCTCCAGGAGCTGCTCCGACATTGGGTTGCCTGCTCGCTGGGCCTCCTGCCACGTGACCTGGAGCCGGTGGAGAGACTGGTTCATCTTCACCATCTGCTCATGGAGTCTGCACGTGCACATTATGCATGCGCACAGGTGCATGGACGCAAACAGAACAAGACAAGACGGATTAATTCTGACATGTGGGGCCAACGCAAACAACATACAGTACGCTGTATACATGTGGGATCTGTGAAACAAATGTTCTCTTTAATTTCTTTATGTAGGTTTCAAGATGTACCTGTGGAAGCCAAGATGCAGGGTGAGTTGTGTGAGGATGAGGTTTTCAGTTAGCAGGCTGTAAGACTGTGCAGACTCCACCGGCTGCTGAGGTGGCACAGGGATCAGACAGGTTTCCTTATCGAGACCTGATGTAAGAGAAGGGGGATCAATTAGTCATGAAAATGAAGGTATACTCTCGGAACATCCTACTGTTATTAAAAAAACCTGCTATAGACCCACTTAGAGGTGTTGCTTTACTACTGATACATAAACGTTATGAAATATATTTATTTTGGTGAAGGGACAGGAAACATTAACCTCTTGCGTGCACATTGCGATTGCGCCTCTCTTCTTCGCTCAGGTCTTTGAGGGCACAGTAAGTGGGGTTGAAGGTGAGCAGTTTGGGCGAACGCGGCCTACAGAAGGGCTGGCACAACTTCAGCAGCGCTGCACCCAAGTTTAAGAAGAATGCATCTGAGGCATACATCTGGAAGAAGATCTCTGGCATCTGATTGGCCCATATCTTGGCCCGGCCAGCGTTAGCCTGCAGACAGCTCCCCAGCCACGAGAGCAGCAAGTGGCGCGTCTCACCAGATCGCTGGAGCAAGTTTTTCAAGATCTGGTGCAGCTTGTCATGAAACTGACCCATGAACTGCAACAAAAGAGGAGTAAAGATCAACCCTGTTTCATCTTTTAAAAAAAGGCAACAGAACAGCAACATCAAACTAATGAGTCTGTTTACCTGGTGGATGTTTGCCTCCTGGACCTTTGTCTCCTGGGCACTGGAGCGGGAGGGGTTCAGGAAGTAGCCATGTCCCTCCACCACACCTGGGGTTTTCAACAAGCAGGAGATACTCAACACTGCTCCCAGAAGGCTTTTCTGATACTGTAAACCATTAGCTGGGTCTTTGGGCTGAATGTGTTCCACCAATACCTAGGAAAACCAAAAAAAGAACAACTGTTTGGAAAAGCTGGGGACACTAAAATAGCAAAAAAAAAATGTTTAGGTAGCACTGTGAAATGTTATCTGATTCCGATTCTGTGTTTACTGTATATTATTATCACTTCATTAGTAGTGAGCACTGAAATGAACAGTTTATGTATTACATTTATTTGCAAACATCCTTGTGTGTCCCCTGACCTTGGCAATATCTTTATGGTGGCTGAAATAGAGCAGAACATCTAGGTAGGAGTAGAGGAGAGGCTGGCACAGGTCCAAGTCTTTGATGCGTCCCTGGAAGATATCAAACACTGGCACTATCACCTCCTCGAAGGTACGCACCTCCTGGTCGGAGAGTAGGCCAGAAATGACCTCCTCCACAAACTCAACCACCTCCTCTGGCTCTGAAACACAGTGACTTTGTAAGAAACTGAGAAGAGAAAACTTCAGGCAAAGCTTTACCAAAGATAAAAAGAGACATAGGACAAAAAAGTGAGAGGCAGGGAAAAGACGAATACACCAGAAAAGAAACAGTCAGGCCTAAACAGGCTCGATCCTGAACCTACGTGCTCCACTGAAACTTTCCAGCAGCAGGTCCAGCAGCTGTTCGTAGATATTCTGGCTGATGTAGATCTCCGGGGTGAGCAGGACTGTCCGCGTGTTAGAAACCGTCAGGTTCTTACAGCGAACAGCAAATGACAATAACTTCTCTGGTACCTTTGTCACCTGGTGCACAGATAATCAAGTCACTTAATTATGGGAGAACATTGATTATTTTTATGTTTCAATTATAGAGAAAAGTCTATTAACAGCTGGAAATCTCTTAAAATAGTTATATTTAAGTGCTACAATTAAAGTTATGTAGGAAAATCGTGCACCTCTTCTTTGGCTCTCTGGTAACAAGCAAACAGGTAAGGGATGGCACACTTCTGCCCAGCATCACGGTCAGCAGACAGGTTAACAGCGCTGCATGACGTCATGTAGATGAGGTGGTTTCCTGGCTCTAGCAGCAGCAGACGGTTAAACAGAGCCTGGAGGACAGAGTGAAACATCACAGACACAAATCAGCCCGTATAAAATATTCTGCACATCTGCACCAAAATAATACAATCTTCCTGTTTTGTGGGATTCCTCAAATTTCTGAATCCATTTCTTTGACAATGCATCCAAATTCTACAAGTCTCACGTTCTTACATCAGATGAAAGGTGCCGTTTTTTTAAACATTCCAAGAAGAAAGTGTTGACGTAAAACACACGTTGTTGACATCTGACCTGTTCTATGTTGTCCATGTCCAGCCAGTCTTGTCCATCCAGATCTGCAGCCATCTCCTCCAGGTAAACACAGCGAGGGGGGATCCCATTACCTCCTCTCAGACTGGGGTCACCTAGGGGCGAGAATAAAACCAGGGTCCATAAAATAACAAAGTCTGCTCAAATCATATTCCCCATGACAACCCATGAAGCTTAAACCATTCCAAGCATTAATACTGGATTACTTGTAGTTGAGAAATAAATCAACAGCATTAACATCAATGTTAGAATGAATAAGACACGGGAGGAAAAAAAGCACATAATCTATTTATTCTGGTTAATTTCAGACTGAGGTGGCAGAAGAATTCATTAAAAACACTATGTGAAAACTGGAGCACCATGACTCACCCCTAAGCAGTCTTAGTGGTCTAAGAGACCCAGCCATCTCACAGCCAGACTTCACAGTGTGCAATGTATCGTCTTCAAGGATGGTGAGTCATTTGTTGCATTACTTACTGCAACTTAAAATTGGACTTTGAAGACAGCTAGCACCATCCAACAATACCACAAAGAACAACAGAACAGCCTATGCCTGTACTTTTTAGGTGTGACAGTTACACACTGACTGTCTAATGCCCCTTCTACCTTGAAGCAAGGGGGGAAAGTTTGTAGGTAAAGCATCAACACTGATTATCCAATCTCACACATGTTGTTTTAGACTGGCTTGAAGACAGATTACTTCAGTTACTGCAGTTACTATAGGGCCGCTGCTGGTTTACCATAAACCTATAGCTACAATAAGTCAACTAGATATTGCAGACAGTACTAGTGTTTACTATTGCAGATCATCTCCACCTTCCATGGTGAATTTCCAGCGTTAAAAATAGGGCACAGCGACTACTACTGTTTACTGGTGTCCAAACAAAACCTGTTTAACAATGCACATGGGACTAAAGTCGCGGACCTGTTTGTGTGTTACTTTTGACATTTGGGTCACACAGGTAAAACGTCCAGGAACTGGACTAAGGCTTAGGCTGACAAAAGCAAATCACATGACAACCTGAAAGCTACATAGAATTAATCAAACACAAAACATATGTTCAAAATAAAAAACAACTACGTAATGTCTAGAGTTTTTTTGTAGTACCCCATTCAAACAGACAGTGTGATGTGGGTCAAACCAGCGTCTGGGACGTATCTGAATGGGTCAACTTACATCAGTGACAGCTGTCTCCTGTCGATACTTCCTGAGCACATACGCTGTGTGAAAGCGGTGTAAGTTACAGATCAAAGTCCGATTATTTCTCTGCTTTTACTTACTGTTGTCCAGAGTGATGAGAAATATTCGCTGGATCATGTGATTGACATTGAGCTGTTCACACAGCTCCTGCCGGGACCGGAAGGAGCGGCTGATCTCTGCCACGGAGTCGTCATTGTCATCAACGCTGTCTGACACAGAGTTTTCTGACTCGGACTGGCTCTCTCCTGAGTCCTCCACTGTGATACAAGATACACTATGACCTATATGTGCAAGAAAAAACACTGATGCTTCTCTAACACTGAAATCATGTCATACATGTAATTTGGACTTAGAGATCCCCGGAGGCATCCACATAAGCCCTGAATATACTGCTTATGAGAGGGCTGCCATGGCTCTGATAACTCTACTCACACGGTGGTTCAGCAGACAGCTGTTGTGGTTTCTGGCCTGATGCAAACTGCTTGGCATCAGCCAGTGAGCTGAAGAGGGCAGCAAAGGGGTTGCAGGAGATGTTCTGGTTGTTGTTGCCCTGGTCAGTCATCTCACTGGGGCTCAACTCTTACTCCATCCAAGATCCCAGCCTTAGATAGATAGACAGATAGATAGATACTTTATTTATCCCGAGGGAAATCCAAGAAACAAGCAATGCAGACACAACAACTGAGTGTCAATGGAACAAGACCTACATTATTTATGTACAGGATAAGTAAGCAAGTGCAGTATATTTCCATAGCTGTACAACTGAAGCACCCAATCAGCTTGGTAGGTTTTTTTGTTTTTATCATCACTTCATTCAAATGAATTCACGTCACTTTGTCTGACGTTCTTTACCAAATCAAGTTCCTACTCTACCTCTAAATGTGCTGTAATAAATGCGATGATCCTTTCTTTTTGTGGTAGGTTATGTTTAAAGCATTACATTCTAAAAAAGGCGCCGCAAACGTCCCCAGCCAAGGTCATCTTCCCTCCCCTTCTTCTTTGAGGTTTTAAGGCAATCAGCATCCTTGATTCCCCTCGTTTCTACAGTGGCTTCATCAGTCCATGTGTACTCAAAAAATAAACTTTACTGTGCCTTTTAGACCAGTCTCTAATAGTGCTAATCTGTTTTTGTATTTCCTTTGTATCTCCTAATCTCTGCATATTACGAGGACATGCGCTAATGTTTCTGTCTCTTGACAGTGCTCACAATAAACCGCCAGATGTTTTCCCATTAAGTGTCAAACTAAACTACAATATCCTAATCTCAATCTGCTAATCATTACATCCTCTTGACAACAATGTGTTCCTCTGCTTCTTCACACACCAACTCTACTCTGGATTACCGTTGAGTGCCCGACCCCTCCGTTTCCACACTGCGCTCCTCCTCTGACAGGGGTACACACTTTGAGCACGACATTCAGGAAGATGGGAATCGATAAAAAAAACTCATAAATAAATAGAAAACTAATAAACTTCGTGCTCCCGTTTGCAGGTTGACAAGGACCGTCGATCCCACGGACCGTCGTTACCGATCACTATCACCGATCACTATCGGCGCTCACCTCCTCGGCGGCTGCCCGTTGCAACGTGTTGTCACGGTTACCGATCAGTTTAGTTCGACGCCTAACGGTCAGAACTCGTGCCGCTTCAGGTGTACACGTCACCCTCGCTGTTTTAACGGAGCAGCAGCATTAGCCACTTGACGCTAACCGGCTAACCAGCTAACCAGCTAACCAGCTAGCCGGTTAGCTGGTAGCAGTGGCCGTCTGACATCACAGGGCTAGTTAGCTAGTTGGCTAGTTAGCTCGCTTGTGGAGTAGCAAGCTAAGCTGTCATGGGGTCACCACGACTGTATTTCAGCGTTGGTTCTACAGAGTGTTACGTGGGTTTCGCGCAGTATCAGTCTGAGTAACGTATACACACGATAAAGAGGGCTGTCGTACCTGTTTGACGGGAAGAAGTGAGAGTTTTTGATGAAGAAAAGAGAGAAACGCTTCTACGAAACCAGCGGCAGTTGAAACTGAATTTGTAAACGTCATCACAGTGAGACGGAGGGTGTGCGTCTTGCTGAGTAACTTTATTTCTCCTTCATGAAAACAGTTTAATTATGTTGTTTACTGTCAGGGTTTAATAAACCGGCCTCTCTGTGGACTGCCAGTACAGATAGTTAACTCTAAATGTGATTCATCTAATATTTGTAACGCTTAAAAAGGATTCACAATTAATATTTGTGGGAATAATTCTTGACAACATGTAAAAAATAAATAAATAAATAATCTTTAGTTAGGATACTATTTATTTTATGGAGAAAAATATGGGAAGTGAATGTATATTTTACAAGAATATTTTAATATTTTTGGATATACATAACGTTACTTAGTTAATTAGTTAGTTGGTAGGTAGTTAGTTTGTTTGTTGAGTAATAGCAAAAAGAAAAAGAAATCTTTCTGGTTAATAAGAAAACAAATCAATTTCATGAAAATTCTATCTATCTATCTATGTTTCTTTCTTTTTAATCTTAAATGTGAGAGCCCACCGGCTGTGTGAGGTCCGCTGTCCCTTCAGTATCTGCCTGTGCTGTGGGTTTTCTCTGATGTTTGCTGACTGTCAGCAGAGGGCAGCAGCAGACTCACTAAAGACAGTCAATGGTCCCTCCTGGCAAACCAGGTGTCTTGGAGTTGCTATGTAACAACAAAGAAATGTCCTATGACTAACTGCAACGATGATGAGACACAACAGCACCTTTTAATAAATTGTTTTAGAGTTCAGGAAGTCTGGGAAGCTTTGAAGGACTATAGACTTGATTATGAACCATGTTGGAAATCAGTGATGTACGGAATCTTTACTGGAAACAACAAACCATCTGATCAAATGGAACTACTTCAACTCATAATAAGCATCGTCTGTTTCAAGCTTTGGAAAATAAGAACTGCCATGACCATATACCAGACTTGTATCGATAGTAAGACAGTCACTAAACAAATACTCACAGAACTCCAGAGGAGGAAAAACCTGGACAAAAATTCTCTCCTCCCATGGAAAACACTGGATCTATAAGTCAGCACCTTATAAATATTGAACTCTCTCAGTCTGTATGAACTTTATAAACTAATGCACTTTATAAATGTTTGCTGGATGCACTTTACAGGTTTTAACTGAACAATTTATGGGTTTTAATTGAAGCACTTTATGAGTATTAACTGAAGCACTTTCTTTGTCTATGTAATGTATAATATGTGTAAACTATAATATAGTTGATTAAAGAGCAAACCAGGTCCATGTTTGGCACACATTTTGATGTGTGGTAGACCTCACCTCTGTTTTTTTATTAGTGCGTTTCTGAAGTTGTAGTTTCGTTTTGAGAGTTTGCATTTGGACAGAGACTTGTGTTTTTAAATTAATGTTTGTAGATTTAAGTTATGTGAAAAAAAAATCAAATAAAACAAATGGTTGAATTCAAAGCTGTAATAACAATATAATATGTACTTAAAGACCCACTGACTAATCCGTGGCCTTACATTTCTTTCTAGAGTTTTTAACACACAGTTTTCTCTCCTTTAATTTCTGTGTCTGATCCTTTAACTAAAATAATGTGATGATGCCAGTGTCTCCTTTGTATTTGCTCTTTAAATGTCTTTGGAAATAAGTTTCTTCCCTCACTTGCTCATGAGTTTCATATGCCTCTTTAAAAAAACTGTCTAGCTGTCCTGTCTGCACCTTTATCCATACAGTACTTGTTTCTGCCGTTTTATGTATGTATTAGTTTCTCTTTTGTGATTATTTTGTGAACACTGGCGTATTGGTGCAGGAAGTGAGTGGTGAGTGGCATGAGCACACAGTTAGTAGCCATGCACATCCTGTAGCAATCACATTAGTTGCGTTGAGAAGCTATAGCCCTTACAGTACTGCAACCAAACTCACTTTCCACTCAACTCTGCAGAGCTTCTATTAGCTAAATGAGTACTCACTTCATTTCCCACAAATTCTAAAGTCAAATTTCATGAGAAATGAATAAGGTAGTTAAATAATTTAAACCAAAAATCTAAAAGACACATCATAATGTCATCTTTGTGTAATTGTGAGTATGTCAGGAGACAAAGAAATTGTTCTGTGCTGTTCTCTAAAATAGAGTACGGAGAATTAAGCAGAGGCAGAAATTTCACGGTTAAGGTATTGATCTTCACAGATACATTATGGCCATTTCATGCTGTAAGGCACTTAAAATTTGGTTATAACACTGTAAATTACATTGTATGCATTTCATTTTCAACAATTTCACCAAAAATCTGTTAAAATATATTTTAGTTTTGTGTGTATCTACTGGAGGTTGAATATTTTCTAAGGGCTCTGCACATTGAGTACATCTTCAGTATTTGTTCTAATTACTTTGGACAATGCAGGAGAAAGTTATAGATATTTTTCAGTTCTCTGTTTTATTGTGTTTCCCTGATCTAGTGTGACATAGGAAGAAAATAAAGACTGTTACAAGACCACTAATACTTTTCTAGAACTAGGTCACCTTGAGTAAATGGACACAGATGTTTTATGAAATTATAAGCAATCATTACAGATGTGTACAGTCAGACAGCTTAGAAAACAACACAGTTTGTACTAAGCAGCTTTAATATTGAACACTGAGTCACAGAATACATGCACATACAGAAAATGTGTGACACAAAGCACACCAAGTCATCATTCAGAGAACATATTTGGTTTTTACCGAAAAACCAAACAAAAACAAAATTATAAAAAATAACAGCTGTGTTTCTTATACAATCAACATTTACATATTTTGCTTTTGAGCAAAACTGACAGTAAAAAAATGCAACTTCTCAGTTCCAACTTGGTATGCAAAGACAAAATTCAGTACACTTACAAATCAATTGTTTGATCGTTTATTTCTTGACCGTACATCTCTTTCTCTTTGATCTGTGACGTTAAATAATCTGAACAAATACTCTCCACTGATCTACACCTATCATGTACACCATATAAAGTCTCAGACATACAGACAGCAATCATTCACAATAGTACGAATATTACAAAATAAGGCACAATATTTACAGTCTCAAGCAAAACCTTCTAATCCTGTGAAAATGTTAGTGATCCAGGTTGTCACAGTTTAGATTTTAGGAAGGCTCAGCCTCTAAGTGAAATGTGTACACGTTAGTGTCTATTTGACAGTCTTTGTCCGTAGTGGCTCTGTTGTTCATGACTGAATTAAAAGTGTCTTTATGGCTTCTTTTCACCATACATGATGTTTGAAAAGCTGCGTTCTGACCTATCCTCTTGGTTCCTCCTCTCCTCAGCACCCAGGAGGAAGGTGTAGCACTCACTGTCCATTATTTGCCATACTGTGCCCCTTTCCCCCGTCTTAACCAGTCCCTCCAGGGGGATTGGCTTTTGTCCTGATTAGCGTCTGAACTCCAGGTGGAGGAGGAAGAGGAGGAGGAGGAGGAGGGCTGGCGTGTCCAGGTGGAGGCCGTCCTGCTAGGCCTGCGGAAGAAGGACATGCCGTTGGAGTTGGACTTCTTCTGAGGAAGCTCCGACTGCTGCTGGGACCTGAGCTGCTGGTTGATGATGATCTGGATGTCATCCTGAGGAAAGGCGGGGAGGAACAGGAAATAAGCGGGAAGTCTGAGGAGCACAGACTTAGTCTGGTGTCTCATGTTGGGCAAGAACAGCATGTCAACACTGCCCTCACATCATAATCATCGGACAGTATCATATTTAAACACTACTTGATTGTTAATTGTGTTGTTATTGTTGCAGTGACCTTTATTGTCGGCAGATTGGTGTTGCATGCATTTATTTAAACATTAACAAGAGTCAATAAAAGTATTTTAAATTGTAAACATTTTATAAATACATTTTGTATATTGTGTGCTGACACAGCATCCACACTATTGTTATTCAGTTCAAAACAGACTCTTTGGCTTCTATTTAACTTGTTTCTACCTTTTAAACTTTTTAGCTTTATTACATTTTTGTTTTTACCATTAAAGTAAGTGGAGAAAGCTTCAAATCCTCTTTTAACTTCCTCTACTTTGAAATGCTAATCCCTCCACATAATTTCAGCTACATACTTTATTGAAACTTTAAAATGTTCACAAGACCTTGGACTATTCAACTTGTATTCAACTTTTTTAAATCTTTCATAGTTTTTTAATTATCACAGCCTAAATGTTATGCTTTCTAAACTGTTTTTCTGAGTTTATAATGGGGCCTGTCCTTGTAATGGAGCGAAATGTTCAGAGCTAGAGGGGATGACATCAACGCTAGAGTGGAGAGTGAAAATGTATATTTAACTTGCTCTTAGTCCCACCACTTCTCATACATAATTTATACATCAAAACATAGACAAATGTGTCCTCTTGCAGCCCATGTAACTACTTAAGCTGTAGGACTTGTGGTTTTTGAAATTTCAGCCTCCAAGCACCAAGAGAGCCCTTCAACTCTCTCATTAACTCTCATGTATTTTGACTCCGATGTTCTTAAGCAAAAAAGCAGAAATGTGAGGACTTTTTAATCTGCCATTTCTCTGTCATTTATAACTTTATCCTCACATATTATATATCAAAATCTTTAGCAAATCCTTACGACATGGTGCGAACAGTTCTCCCTCTGTCTATGCCTTTCACTTTCTCCCTCTCTCTTGAATCCTCATTAACCTCTTAATAATTCCACTTTTGAATGTGTTTCTGCATTGCAGCCATCAGCATCCCCACTGTACTTTCAGCTGGAAATGCATTTTCTAGTTCTTATTGTCAATAAATCCCATGAAAACACCTGAACCAGCAATGAACTGATACTACTATATTGCCTGTGTAGCCAAATCTGATACTGTAGCTGTTTCCAAAAACAATTAAAAGCACATCAGTAAGACACAATGTGACATGTTCCTTCAAATAATCACTAGATCATCAAATGTATCCTGTTTGAGTAATATTTGGTAAAAACTACAGTGCCCAGTTGTTTTAGGAAATTACTGACTTTAAAAAACAACAAAAAAAATATATATTTGTTCAAAGTATAAACTAGTAAACACGTAAAGTATTGTTTTCCTTAGGATTATCATGAAGTAAACTGACAACTGTA